TGTCTCCACCCCCCACCCCCCAACCTCCTTTGGCTAACTGCATACAACAGAGTTGAATCTTTTGGCTAATCACAGCTGAGGCCCAGGAGTTGACTCTAGACAGCCCACAACTTTTCTTCAACCACTGATAATGTAGTAGTTTTGCAACTTTTGCTCAATTTCATCCCTACTCTAAAAGGTTGAAATGTCCCACCTAAGGCTTTGTTTCTTACAGTAAGAGCTTCAAGCTAGAACACATTGGCATTTTTGGTATTTTGGCCAAAACAACTTTGTCTTCACCCTGGCTAACAAATGGAATACAGTCCAAAAATATTCTCTGGATGTTTTGATACTGCTGATTTGCCTTCCTGCTTTAGAATGACTATTAAGTTGCAGTAAGTGCACAGATTTAGCTACTTTATTTTCTGTAAAGCCCTGCCAAATACCATATAACTTGCCAATTACTCCGGCTGCCCCATGTGAACCTTAGATGTGACTTCTTGCTTCCCTAAAGCTTGGCTCTTGGGTTGGAGTGAGTTAAAGCTTCAAAGAATGATCTTCCAAAGTTTTGCATCATCTTCCTTTGTGTGTGAAGGGAGGATGAGTGTAACAGGTGTACACCTCAGTGTATGCCTTAAGGGAGTGGCTCCTTGAGGGAATGGCTGTTTCCTTTTCACCTGCTGCTAACCAGTTGTAACCACAAACAGTGGGCAGAGCAGCAGAATGCCAGCAACCCGACTGGTGGTTTGAGGAACAGTGTTCTGAGACCCATGTTTGTGCCTGGCAGTGGAAATGCTATTATGTATGTAATGGAGAAGGACAAGTTCATAAAGGAGTATGTCAGGTGGCCATGCTAATGCCTGGCACGTGGCCCCTGATATGCTTCTGTGGAACCAGTTCAGTTCTTGGGCAAAAATAGACTCTCCAGCCCTTCCTTAACAAGCACTATTACTTGTGCAAAGCAAGGTGCCTGATTTTTTGCCAATGCTTGGTTGCTGGCTTAGAGTATTTTTAATGTGTTTTCACTGATGTGCTTTAAAGGATGTGGCTAGTTTTTAATAATGTAACATTGGAACTGTATTTTTATTGCTAGCTACCATAAGCACCACTTTTACTAGAAGGTGCAATATAAACAAATGAACTAAAAACCCCATCCCTTCTGAAAAGTATGTGTGGGTAGGCATCCTTCTGAACGGAACATGATGTTGCAGGCAGAACTGCAGTAGGTAAAGAAAACTGGCCAAATGGGGTGTCAGATTTGTGTGAGCTGAAGCATGTTTCATTAAGACAAAACCATAATTGTATGTAATGCACCATTTCTGAGCATATAGGTATTAGGAAGCATCACTGACTTTTTTCTTTCTTATTACTTATGCCAGATGTTTTTCAGGATGGTTTCATCATGCGAAGGGGTAGACAAGCAATTACTGTGCTGGGGTAGTATAAGGTTAGTCTAACAAAAAAAAAGAACAAACCTTCTGAGAAGAGTAAGTAAAGCTGTCAGACATAAAACAAAAGTATTTCCAGTGTAGATCATGTTTTTAGTGAGTTTGGAATGCAAATAAATTCTTGTGACACAGGATTATTTGCCAGATTTATCTCTACACTAGAGCTTAACATAAAGTCAGTATGCATTCTTGTACATTCCTGTTTTATAGTGCAAATGTGAACTTAAAATATGGTGATAAATTAACTCTTCTGTGACTGTTAATGTCTTTATATTGCAAATTATATATCCACTAGGGCTGAGGAGAAAACCTTTCAGTTATATGTGGGGTATATGATGGAATCTCAGAAGCTACAGGAAGATGTAAGTTTAGCTCCACTATCCCAGAGGTGCCACTTAGGTGATCTGCCCTTGTTTCTCCCTCAGGCTGCTACTTTCTTCCAGACACTCACCTTTCTCTGTCATCTTCTCTCCATGTAATAATTGCTTTTCTTCTATCTTTGAAATCATTGTCCTGGAAGTAGAATGTAATGTGTTTTCTTGTATTCTGCCCAATCTTTCGCTTTTTTCTAAAGCTTGCCTGTACACTTAAATAGGTTGTCTCCACTTTGAGAAGAGTTCACATTTGTGGATTACTTTGTTACTAGCACTCCTCAAGATTCATCAACCAGAGATATGTGTAAAAGACTTAGAATTAAGGAATAGCATGCCTCTGCATGCATTCTGAACTGAGGAATTCATTTTAGCTGGAAATAGCCATTTAGTCATTCTGCACGAATTGTTAAACAACTGGGAATAAGCAAGCCTTATGGGTCTTCTGCAAGAGAAGGAGGTCTGTCAGTAGATACCAGGCTACTTTTTGTTCACTCCTGTATCAGGTGATTATTCTGAAATACTACTGAATCATTTGAGAGATTTGGTTCATAACAGCAGGGTACAAATTGGTTTTTCAGGGGATTGGACTAGATAGAACCTTAGAAGTATATTTCAGGACTAGTTGTCAGAAGGGAAAAAGGCCAGATGGCTTAATGTACTGGTCCTGAACATAAGCAGATTATTGTTTGAGGAGCAAGCCCGGAGATGGTATCTAGAAAGCAGTAAAGACCTCCTTCCTGAAATAACTTGGGGTGGAAAATGGGATAAATCTCTGTCTCTACCCCTGCCCCTCCTTACCCAGTATAAACTCACTATATAAGCTGTTAGGGATTTGAAAAAGATAGTGTCTTCCTCTGCCCATTTGTCTTCAGTTTTCCTCTGTTTTAATTGACAGCATAATGTTCATGCTTCAGCTTTTCTCAACCACAGGCTAGATTTTATAGAATCGGCTATGCACAATTTCTGGTTCCTTTATTATAGAGAGAATAATGGAAGGATTTGTGAAGAAGCATGGCCAAAAGTTTAGATTTTTTTTCTCTGCAGCCCAGTTCAGAACCCCCCATTTTCTCATGCTGCTTCAGATTGGGTATCTGTGTATTGAAATGTGTGTGCAATCTGGACAAGGTAATAGAGGTTTTAAAGGCTGTCTGCTGGAGACTACTACATTCATAATATTTTGGGTTATTTAATTTTAAAGGTTGGAATAAATCTATAAAGTCAACTTGACTTTTGCCCTGGAGATCCTTTCATGGAAGCTACAGCATCAAGTCTTCTTGACTGGATACAACTTTTGCTCCCCATGCAAGCAAGGAAGAGATCTTAGTAACTCTGGTAATCACAACAGGCATGCAGAATGACCAAACCAATAATGTATAACTTTCTTTGCCCATGCTCCTTTCTCCACTTTCCCATTGTCTGTTTTAAATTGCATGCTGTTTGAAGGCAGAGACTTACATATTTTTACTATGAATTAGGCATTGTGTGTATTTTGGACAGTATGTATTAATAAATGGTTATGAAATGATACCTGTGTAATCATTCGATCAGTTTTGCCTATGTGTATTTGGTGTACACATCAAATCTTAATAGAAAAGGCTGAATCTGCCTTTCTGGTCCTCTCCATATTGGTCTAAAATACTTGCTATCTCCTTAAACAACCGCATTACATATAAAATGACTTTGCTAAAATTCAGCATAGAAACATCATTTATTGTAAGCTTTATACCATTTTTTCTATTTTCACTACTACCTGATACAGTATAAACATAAGGCGAGGTTTGTCTGACTGAGCTTAGTATAACAGAAAGAAATACTGAAATATAATGTATGTCTTACATTTTTATTAGCAGAGGACTGTTGTCAGCAAATAAAACGGGTCCTTTTATTAGGGCAACAGAAAAGTCCTTCAAGAACATTACACAAACACAATAGATTAGAATAACTTTATACACATGGTCTGTTTGAAAAGGTTAATCTCAAAATATTCAGATAAGTATTTCCTACCTGTACCTGTTAAATCTTTTGAGTCCAGAATGCTAACTTAGTTCTGCCTAACTTTGTTCAGGCTTTCCAACAGACAAGACCCTCATTTTGAGTTTATGCACAAATTATCTTGGTTCCTTTATTAAGCAGGAGTGCTGCCTGCCTACATGAGTAACAGCAAATGTAGTTCTGCTTACTGAAAAAAAGATAACTTAAATATAAACATTGTCATTAGAACATTTAACCTTTAGAAACAATCAAGGTCTTAGTTTTTTAAAAATGTAGTTTATCTTAAGGAGGTGTTTGCACCATTCCACATTGTGGAAATGCTGAGATACGCAGTCTGGACTTTACAAATTAGAAATGGAATTACAATTATTGGCACAAATACAGCTATACTGATTTTAAAAAAAAAAAAAAAAAACATGTTCATTTTCTGCTATCTACCATCAAGAGTCACATGACAATGCAAGTCAAGTCCAAGTAAAGAAGAAACTAGTTGACGCATTAACAGAGTATTGAATGTACCAGATGTCCCAAACTGCTTGATCAGACTAAAAAAAAAAAGGAAAAGTACTCCAATTAAATAATACCATCAAATAGTGTTAGGTTCAATGAGGTCACTGTAACTGCACTCGATATGCACCGATCAGCAGCTTTACCTGCAAGAAAGAAAATGATGTTGACTATTTTTTGAACAAAATGCATTAAATCAATGACTTACCCCTAAATGAATGTATGTTGTACCCTTTCAAAACTCACTTGGCCCCTCTGGAGTGAAGATTAAAAATGGTTCCTCAGAATGTAAAACAATTTCCTTATCCATAAGTTACACTTTTGTCTATGCATGCAACACATTTTACTGATATATAAAATATTTGTAATGCATAAAGGAAGCCTTGATGGAAAAAGTTTAAGCAGTGTCTCCTTTATTTTGTTATGACAGTACTGTGGATAGAGGGAAATTCACTAAGGCCAAAAAGTAGTGTTAAAATGGTATTAAAAACATAGCCATGGAATACAGTAGACAAGAACCTAGTGCAACACTGAACAAGGCTCCTGTAAAGCAAAATTCTGAAGTATCTGTATGCATCTACAATATATACACCATATTTACATTTCTCACCTTGGCAGTTGGAGCTTCTACCAACCGTATGAAAAGTTTATTAAGGCCTTGAATAGGACTGAAGGAATAAATAAAGTGACTGTCCTAAAATAAAAAAGAGAAAGGAATTGGTTGTGTGTCTTACATTTCAGAACATTGTGCTCTTGGCCAGCCAGACAGCAAGGGAAATTAAGTATTTTCTCACCTATGCATCTTTTTTGGTTTATATATGTTTATGTGTCTAAACTAAGTCAAGGCCACCAAATGGTAATCTTTTGTTTACCCAATGACAGTGCAGGACTCTGGTATGCATGCAGCACCTGAGAATGTTGGTCAAGATGAAGGCATATCACAATTTTTAGTACGGGTCCTCTGTGCTTCAACTCTACTTGTTAACCTAGTAATTACTCTAGTGCTGGGCCATGGGAGCTCTGGCACACATGAGAGCAGATGTAGCTTCCAGGAGGCAGGTGGTAGGGCTGACTATGCCTCAGAAATAGTCGAAGACAGTGAGCCCAAGTCCTACCAATGCCATTTGCTTGTAAGGCTCTACTCATGTTCTTATAAATGTAGGCTTTAAACAAGTCCATATACATCTGTCATGGATGTATGGAACCATCTTGTCCAAGGGCAAGTGCTAGTTGCAAGGAAACTATCATGGGAAAGAGCTATTACCTTCATGTGGATTATTCTGAAGCACCTGCCTGACCACTGGAAACAGGCATGTATGTATAATAACTGCCCAATCTTTAAGCCACTTACATAAAAATGAATTAGCTAAAAATAGAAGATAAAGCCATAAGACCATAATCAATATAGAAATACAACAAGAAAGCTGATAACCTGCAATTAAAAACACAGGTTGCACTTAAAATGCTGAACTAGACAGTTAGTGTGATCTAGCAGAAATCTTTTGTTCATAGTGGTTCTGTTCAGTAGAACCCAAGTTAACATGAGTGGGAAACGGTCAAATGTTTCTTACAAGGCCCTGTAATGGGAAAAGTGTAGTATGCTGACTAAGGCTTTGCCAACAAGAAATAAGTCCTAAGACTTATCAGGGTTGGCACTGATGCCAGAGAAGCTAGTACTAGCCTAGCCACTCACCTGGAAGATCCGCTGGGCAAGCTGCTCTGTCCAGGAAGGATGGCAGGCTCTGCGGGGCTGGGAGGGAGGGGGAGACGATGAGAAGGAGGTAATGGGTGCCTGGCTACTCTAGGCATGGAGCTGAAGGACAGGAAATTAGCAGCAACTCTCTAATGTTAGGAAAAGAGCTGCTGCTTATATTCCAGCAAAAAATCATGTGCTAAATCTAACAAATCTAAAGGCGCCTCCTGCCCATTCTATATTTGAGAACCTAAGCATAAAATTAAATAGAACTATGCTACATCCTATGATACAATCTTTTTAGCAAGATTTTTTAAAACTTCAAAATTGGAAGTGTATTCTTGTAGAATGCCACAGCAATGCAGTCAACTAAAAGCTGGGCCAACAATGTGGCTGCCAGGAAATATAAAATACATATTCTAGGAAGTATCTTTTCTCTTATTTGATAAACTAACATTAAGGAAATATTTGCTTGGCACTATTCAATAAAGTAAAAAACAAATTTCCCCTACAAAAATTATAGGCAGCCATGCTGGTCCATTTGCAAACACAGCAGGAAACCTGATGTACTCCAGCTATTGTGGACTTCAGATCCAACATAGCCAGGCATTTACATGCCAAGTCAAAACGTCTGAAGCGTATGATGGTGCCTCTCTTTGTAAGAGGCTAACATTTTTGTTCAGATCAACTAAAACATTGCAAAACTCAGCACCAATTTTTCAGGTTCTGCAGTGGTAGAGGGGAAATTCCAGGCATCATGTTGAAGCCCCATGGTCCACAGCTTGTAATAATGATAAAATGTTGTGCAGGAGGTATTGGGCAGACTTAGAGTCATAACATTAGAAGGAATACTGCAAATCAATTAAGGCGACCCTGTGCTCAGTGCAAGTTCTGCAGTGCAACAGGCAGCTGCAGCAGGGATGAGCAATCTGTTGCCCTGCAGGTGTTTTGATCTACAACTTCCATCACGTTTTGGTATTAACTATGTTGGCTAGGTCTGATAGAGTCAGGTCAAAGCCTCATGTAGGGCCTGAAGTTGCCCACCTTCCCAACTACAGCCTCCCATGCCCATACAGCCACTGCTTAAATACCTCCTGTTAGGAAATGTCTTTTAATGTTAAGCTGAAATCCATTTTCCTGTGGTTCCCAATTGCTTCTAGTTCTAGCCTCAAGTGACAAAGTATACAAATGTTCCCTCTTCTGCATGACACCCTTTGATTTACTGGAAGGTCTCCACAATATCTCTCCTTCTGTAAAACAAGTATACTTCGTTCTTTCCCATAAGAATTGGCTTCCAAGCATACAAGGCCATCCTAGTTGTTCTTAGATGGACATACTCTAGTTTGTCAGTGACCTACCTGACTAATGGGCTCAAGTATACGGTACACGACTGTATACAACACTTGAAATCCTATGAGTAATGCAGAATGCAATGGAATTATTCCTTCCATAACCTGGATGTTATCCTGTATTAGCTTTTTTAGCAGCAATATGGAGGATTCATACTCAGTTTGTGGTCTGCTAAGACATATTGGTTCTTTTCATATGTAATATACTAAGACAGCTTTCTTCCTGCTGTATCTATTCCTTTTTTTTTTTTTTTGGCACCTAAGCATGCATACATGATGTCTGGTATGTGCAAGAATGTTAAAGACTTTTCCTAGACTTCTGGGAAAGTATATCAGCTATTCCTTTATCAGGCAAAGGCTGGGGAGCAGAGGGGTTTGCTTGTTTGGATACTGCTGTGTAAAGGCATCCAGGGTACCAAGCAGCCAAGCCAGCATTTTCCTTATGCTCCACTGGTGCCCGAGATAGCATCATGTGATAATCTTCCATGGTAGGAAGCTGACAACTACCGTTTTGGGGTTGGAAATCAAGGCTGGCCAAATATGTAGATGGCTGATCTGAATCACGGCTGATTAATGCAGTTTTGTTTTTTGTTTTGGTAACAACCACCCATCAGTATTTCCCACTCTCCAGTTTGAAAGTATCCTAAAAGAGTTTGCAGAGCTAGAACTGATAGAGAAGTAGTAATACAACATTTAATAAAATGAAATGTAAAGTACCCTAACATATTATATATGACAACTGGAAACAATTACATTCTCTTGCAAGCAATGTTGTCCATGGGGTCACAATGAGTCGGACGTGACTTTGCGACTAGCAACAACAAGCGATGTAAGATATGATGGGGAATAATTAAAAATTGGACAGTTGAGATTCCTCAAGTACCAGGCCCAGCAAGCAACTGGGAAATCCCTGTGCTCCAGCACAGCTGAAGAAATTTGAATGAGCAACCAGTGGCAGCCCCATATAGAAGAGGGACAGAAGTGCAATGCATTATTTTACTAAAGATGTTCCCTGCATAATTATTACATAATGCATCCAGCTACAGTTTAAAACTGAATTCTTTAGAAATACTTCAAATACATCTTTTTGAAATAAATATTTTGCATTTTTGAGGAAGTATACAGCCAGTCAAGAAAATGAAGCATTTACCAAGAACACAGGCAGCTGGAACTTGTCATTCAGAACCACAGCTTGCACACTACATGGTCCACAGAGCCGAGCAACAACTTCTTTCCCAAAGAAGTTTGCATGGAAAATGAATAAAAGAATTCCAGATCCTATAAAAAAAAAACATCAAGCATTTAGAAAATGTAGCAAAAATGTAAAACTGGCAATCCCTTTAAGTTCACCTTTAACCTTACAAATATTTCAAAAGCTTTACCATTTCATTTATTTGCAGGAAACATTCTTAAAACAGCAACAATTTTTACCAAAACTGGCCTATTGATTTAAAGAATACTCATGCCACAAAGGATGAAAAGTGGCTCCAGCATGTATTTAAATTCCGTTAAGCTCTATAGCTGGATAAATCAGATGTTCCTGATTTCTAAAATGAATACTTGCTCCAGAAAGTAACACTCGGAAACTGAATATTGAAAGTTTTCAACTGCATCTGGGGGCAAAATCTTAGTTTCCATTGCTAAATCTGAAAAAGATTTTTAAAGCACCATTAAAGAAAGAGACACACATAACCCCTGCCCCTGCAACTTTAAATTCTGGCCAATCCAATTCTGTTCCCTCAGATTTTGATCCCAAGTATTTTAGGGCAATTTTACTGTAATTTTACTTTCATTTTCTCACAACCCGATCTCCCCACTATTGTAAACTTCAGCTCAAATTAGACTGGCAGACCAAGCATCTGGAGATGACAAAAGCGTAAGTATAACATAATAACACATAAGCACTATAAAGCTTAAATGTATCTTTTTTCTCAAGCACAAAAGAACTTCTGAGATGTGTAACTATTGATCTAATTTTGGGCGGTTTTTATTTTTGTTTGGTTGGCTACCAGTTACTATAGTTGTTACTACTACTACATTGAAGAGTTTAAAATGTTAGATGTTCAATTATGAGCTACCCAGAGGGTGGATGTATGAGTACATACATGCGTGTGTGCACATGTGTGTGTGTATGCACGCACACTTTATTTTCAGTGCAATGCTTAATAGAAGAATTCACAACCTTCAGGCACATTCTGTGGGGGCTTATAAGTGAACTCTGTAGAATAATCTGGTCCTTCACATAGTCGGTGACATGCAATATCAAATACAGGTTGCATCAAACTAAGGCGAGTTTCAAAGTAATCCCTTATTGTCTCTTCTGCCACACGTGAGAGCCTAGGAAAGGAAAACGAAGAAAAACGTCCCACTTTAATTTTGGTCAATCAATTCTTACAGAAGTATCCATATTTTATTCTTTAAAGAGGAAAGTCGTACTTTTCAACAGTTGTCACAGTTTAATTATTAATGGATTGGATCCAGTCTGACCATGCCAGAAGCGGAAGGGCACCTTCCTTTCACTGAACAGATCAAAATACAGTGGCAGTCCCACGCTGGAAGAAGTGTAGGAGAGAGGAGACATTTTCTGCAGGGTCCCTCTTAACACCTGCAAGCTGTTTCAGAAGATCCCCAATCCTCTGAACCAGATTGCAGTGGCTACAGTGAAGGAAGTAGGAAAGAGTCATTAGAAATCTCTCACCCAACTCTGACATTAGCAGAGTGTTGCCACCAATCCTAAATCTGAATTTAATCCACTATGTTACATATAATATCCAAAATCCAAGATCCATGCAAAAGCTATAGAAGGACTTTTACTATCAAAATTTGTGTTAAATTTATATTTTATGAAAATCAGCATGGAATGCTAAGAAGCCCACTAGTAAAATTCACAACCCTGCATATAACTATTTCCCAAAAAGTAAGAAGTAAAAACACATTACAATCTATATAAAACATGTAAAATCATTTTTTCTTAAATAATGTAAATATGCTAATGAAAAATATTAAAACAGGTTATAAATGAAAGTTTGTAATGTTTGATGGAGCAATAGAATGCATACACTAGAACCCAGGCACTAGAACTTGTTTTTTAAAAAATCCTTCAGACACAAAGAATGAAAGCCTAAGAATTTAGAAAGATAGCTTAAAGGTAAAGGTAAAGGTTTCCCCTTGATGTTAAGTCCAGTCATGTCTGACTCTAGGGGGTGATGCTCATCTCCGTTTCCTAACCAAGGGAGCCAGCATTTGTCCGCAAACAGTCTCCGTGGTCATGTGGCTGGCATGACTAAACACCAAAGTGCACAGAATGCTGTTGTACCTTCCCACCAAAGTGGTACCTTTTCTTCTACTTGCATTTGCATACTTTCGAACTGCAAGGTCGGCAGGAGCTGGGACGGAGCGATGGGAACTCACCCCATTGTGCAAACTTGAACTGGTGACCTTTCGATCAACCAGCCCAGCAGCACAGCAGTTTAAACCACTGCGCCACCTGCATCCCTACTCCAAACTATTATCCAACAGTGCTCCCTTTCCTTTCTAATGACTGACCATGATCAGCACCTGAATCTTAGCTTGCATCCTTTGTATCTTTTAACTTAGCGAAGGTGGATAAGAATCTTCTGTTTGGCCTTGGAGATGACTTACATGCCTTTCCCCAAGCTTGAATGTAATGTTTATTCCTCAGCAAAATAAACCAACACATGGGATCAGCCAAGAAACATTTTTATGATACTGAGGTCATCAAATACAGTCTCTCCCTTCTCTGAGCCCCCAAAACCAAGAAATAACTACAGCTTTTGATTCACTACAGGAACTGAGCTATTTTTCAAGCAAGTACTTACGTAGCCAAGTGATTCCTAAGGAGTTCATGTACCAACAAATTATTACACTGTTTGGCAAAATGGAGTGCATTGCTCTGGTGCTTTGATGAAATGTTGCAGTCTGCTCCACTTTCAATCATAAGACGAACAATATCATAATTTCCTCTCTTACAAGCCTATATATGGAAGTTGTGAAAGGAACAGGTAATATGTAAAAACATGTGTATACCTTGTATATGGTCTTTAGAATAGAAACACTTGTAAAGAAAGCAAAAGGGTACACTTGCAACATTCCTAGCCACCTTGCAGGTAGAGACATTACAGCTTTAGAAGCACCAGCATCCCCAACTCACCCTCAACACAGTCCTAGAGGAAGAGCATGAGAGAACAGGGAATAAGCTAGGACTCAGGAGTTGCTGGAGCTGGTGGGGGACCCTTATCCTACATCCTGACAAAGAAATTACATTGTTGAAACAGGTCTAGTTCTGATGTTAATGCTCTCCTTGGGAAGGAGAACATTAACGTTATGTTTTGGGAGGGCATGGATACCAAGTGACTGCCCAGAATAAATGCAAAGTTCATGCAAAACAAAGAGCTATAATATGAACAGCATCATTTAATGATTTAACATGGATTAATGCCACATGTGAGGACTTCAGATATTTAAAGGATACCCAGATTGACCACAGTTAGGTTTATTCATGATGATAACATAATAATTCATTAATTCATTTATTACATCTCTGTACCATCTAATAGCCAAAGCTCTCTGGGCAGTTTACAAAGATCAAAACCCTTACACCTACAAAACTGTAACAATATTTAAAAAACATTTAACATACATACACACACTTTTAACATTCAACAATAAGAAATCCAAAGACATGTTCAAAATCCTGTCATGTGTTTTCAAATGGCCAAGGTCTTAAGAAACGAAACTGCTGGTGGAAAGCAACAGTGCCAGTGAGATAACTCAGAAGGTCCTTTCCCTTTTTGCCACCTTCCAAGGTTCCCCTGTGAAGCGGCCTCGGATCAGGAGTGTAAGTGAATATATGGGCAGGTTCCTATGACGATAAGTGCTTCTTCAGGTATAGTGTTCTATAAATAATATATAAAGCTATGTAAGGCTTTATAGGTCAATGCCAGCACTCTGAATTGGGTTTGGAAATGTATAGACAGCCAGTGACACTGGGCCAGAATGGATTTAAGTATTTGAGTGTTCTGGTTCTCATTACAGAAACACAGAAATTGAGTGAGTCAGAAGGGGTCTCCTGGGCCATCTAGTCTGACCTCTGGCTCCATGCCTACCATGTGCATATCTAGCCTATCCTTGAACACCCTCATTATCAGGTTGGTCATACCTTCCTGGCAGGTGTTCCATTTCCTGCTGCGCCACAGACAAGAATCCAACACAAAAGTGGTTCCCTGAACCACTCCAAGGACTTGCCAACCTGTACCAGCTGAAACTCATCCAAGAGAACTGGACAAGGCTGTGCTCTAGATACACGCATATTTATTTATTATTTATATCCTGCCTTTTTCCTACAAAGGGCTCATGGCAGCTTACATCTCCTCCTCCATCTTATCCCCACAACAACAACCCTGTGAGGTAGGTTGGGCTGAGAGTCTGTGACTGGCCCAAAGTCACCCAGTGGGCTCCATGGCTGAGTGGGGACTAGAACTCAGACCGTCTGAGTCCCAGCCCCATGCTCTTAACCACTACACCACACTGGCTCTCCAGTGATTCATGATTTATCTGCTGCAACAATAGAGTCTAAGTCCCACAAAATGAGATGCTTATTTGTAAGTGCCTTACAAACACATGAGTGGGTCCCTGATGAATCTTGGACTTTCCTAGGGTCAGAATATTAGCCAATAATTCTTAAAAGTTCTGTTGGGCAGCTAGCACACAGAGGATTCAACACTGATAGAAAAATATTGTTTCCTAGATACCACTGCTGTGGCCCTTGAATATATCTGAGCATAGGCGTACATGCATTTGAGTGCATCCACTAGGAGTTTTTACTTTTTTTTGTAAACCATATGCATTTGAACCGTCTCCTGTTTGGTTTCATCACTCTCAGCCCCATGCACTCTCTAGTATAGAAAGATTGCTCAAGGAATCATGAAAGCCACTAGAGTAATCCCTCACATCAATCTTGGTTTAGCCAGAACCTCCCACCAAAACCCTCTTGAACCTATCCAGATGCATTAGATTCTATGGGAGGACAATATTAATAGGTCTGCCACCCTTGCAGAAGGGAAAAGCTGTTGTAAGTTAAAACTTCAGCAACAATGACTTGGCCATGACAAAGGCCTTGATTCAAAGTCTTCAGCTTTAGATTGCCATTGCCAGCTGAAAAAAACAAGTCTAATAGTATGCCCTGCTACATGTGTTGGGCCAAGGACATGTTGGGATGGTCCCCTAGCTGTCAAAGAGGCCATGAAACCCCGAGGTGGCCCAGACAGGGCACCCTCAGCATGCATGTTGATGTCCCAAGCTCACGCCCCTTGCAAAACAAAAAAAAAAACACTCATGGGGGATCTCAACAGCACAAGCAAGACCGCCTCCGTTAGCTCAGAGAGACTGCTGGACAGCAGAGTATGTGGGACAGCAACGGATCCCCTAATCTGCCTTGCTGGTTCAGCACTACAGATGGTAGATGCACCACCTGATGGACAGGAAGCCGGCAAGAACAGATTCTGCTGTATCAGAGAAGCTGCCCACCCCGGTCAAGTCTTCCCTGCTGTTGAACCAAGTACCACAGTGGACACAGCTACCGCCTCCTTGCTCATCCACCTATGTCTCATTTATGCATATCAGATCAGTCATATCTCATCAACATATACCTTCATTAAGGCTGTTTCACCACTATTTTGCTGTAGATTCACACATGCTCCAGCTTCCAAAAGGATGGCTACAGTAGTTAGATTGTTCTAGAAGAAACAAAATAGTTGTGAAAAGATGTATATTCTGACAGTAAATCAAACATAGAATGCTGAACATTTTAGTGTATAACCATGAAAACTAAAGCAGCCCTATAAAGTTTTCAGAAATGAGATTTACGTTGTGTCAGCTTTAGTAAAGGTAAAGCATTTTTTTCTGGTAATAGCAATTCAGGGACACTAAAGACTCTTAAGAGAAAAAGGCTAGCTGATTATTTTTCACATTTAACATCTGGAGTAGCCCAAGGGTACAGTGAAAATAATGAAGCATACTACTGCAAACATCCACTGATTTCTCAGATACCAAGAGGCTGAATCAGCACTACCTTTTTTAAAATCATTCCAGTTACACACTAATTTCATTCCTTGTACTGGGTGCAACAAATGGAAAAATCCCTCAGTAAATGAAAACAAAAGAAGCAAACAGAAAATTAACCAACCTTTTCAGCAGCATGTATCAATGCAGTTGTTCCATTTTTTTGCCTGCAATTAACTTTAGCTCCTTTCCTGATGAGAAGTCGAAGGATATCGTCATGACCTCCTGCAGCAGCGAGCATCACAAGAGTCATTCCACTAGAATCCTGAAATAGCAGTTTATTAATGTTCGGCTTTCAATACAACTTTTGCCTAAGCTGCAACTCTAAGAAATGAATACTAAATGATATACAGCTCTGTACCGAAGGGTCATTCAGAAAGCGATATGGTCAGATGTTCCCCAACTGGCATTTAAACATTTTGCATAGGTTGCTATTATTATTAAAACACAGGAAGAAGGGAAAGATAGATGCTTTTTTCATCTCTGAGAGACTATTTAGATGCAGGATAGAATTCCAATCTCACATTGTTTGCAATGTGCATATTTTACTTAATCAGTCAACTTACATCCTGCTTTTTGACAGAAGTCTTCAAGCATGATCTGACATTTATAAAATACATGGATACATAAAAGCCATGTAAGTGATCATGAAACAAAATGGCTCTGGCAGACAAGGTACCTGCTGTCATCGCCAGGCTCCTCTTTCCTGGAATCCTTCCTACAGGGTGGTTGACATAAGATGGTCTTAGAGTGGTGGTGGTGCTGGTGGTGAAACCCCAGGTGGAGCTTAGATGCTGTTATTTTAAAGTTTGTTATCCACCTTATCCAGGAGGTAGCTAGCAAGTCTAAGACTATTTAATGCAGTTGGAAAACATGGGAACAATTCTAGTCAATCTTGATGAAAAACTATGAACTATCACACAGTTACTCGCATTTGAAAATATGGTTTTATAGAGATTTTCAATATTTAAGCCACTGAACAATCAGTGGTTCAAGCACTTCAGAGACACGTGCATCAAAAGTGAACATAACCCGAAACGCCAAATAACTATCCCAACTCATATTAGCAAGTTATTGATCCCACCTTCAACACATCCATCATGAAAAAGTGACCTGATACAGTATGTCAACCAATTAAATATATCTTAGTTGAATGTTTAGGTTTTAGTCTGAAATCCTACTTGTACAATAAAGTAGGTCCCACTGAATTCAGTGGGAATTACTTTTGAGTTGAACTGTATAGGATTGTGATGTTAACAGGTTAAATCTAACTTTGCATTAAAAAAAAATTTTAAAGAAAAAATACTGCTAATGCTTGCTGTGAAATATGCATTCACTTTTTGCAGGGTTTCAAACTCTTATGTGAAAATTAACATTAGCTGATTGAGGAACTTTTAGCTGATCAAAAGCTTTTAAATTAATTACCCGATGGAAGACTGATTTTTAAAATCAAACAGCCAGTTTGGTGTAATGGTTAGAGTGTTGGACTGGGACTTGAGAGAGCGAGGTTCTAATCCCCACTCAACCATGAAGTTCTCTTGGTGACTTTGGGCCAGTCACTAACTGTCAGCATAACCTATCTCACAGGATTCTTGTGAGCATAAAATGGACAGGAGGAGAATTACATAGACTACCCTGGGTTCCTTCCAAGATTAAAAAATGGCATGATATAAAAGTAGTAACAATAAAATTCACTTCCTGGGGAATAAGGCATCTTGAACACATTGGTATGTATTTCTGTACAACATCAACAGAATTGTGCTATAAAGATCATAATTCTGACCATGAGAGTATAGCACAAGTATATGGTCATTGACAGAATTAAGAATTTTATGTATAGTTCATTACTGTTTACTTACATAAACATGAAAATTACTTCATGCCTATTGTATAGGAGAATACTAAACTATTTATTTCACAAAAAGTTACCTCCTGGTCGAGATTATATTCTTCATTTGAATTAAGTGCCATCTTTACCATATCATAGTGCCCATTTTTAACAGCATCCCGCAGCTGAGCTAGAAGAAAGAAAGTTCCATTGGAATGAATCAACTTCAAAAAGGGAGATACGAAAATTTTCCATCTTTGTAGTTGTTACTTACTAGAAGATACTGCTTCAACTGCCAAGTGATTTTCATCTTCTCCATCAAGGTGCTTCTGAAAGTCCTCCAGCGTCAGCCACTCTAACTGCATGTCCATGCCCAAGCTCACAGTTTGTTGCTTCGCATCTAGCAAGTTGATATTTTAGAAGGGATAACGACAGTTTTGCCTTCATTAATTAAATCATCATTGTATACTCTCCCTTGCACCTGTCTCTTAATCCAACTCAAGCAGAAAAATAATTCATTGTAATGGTGGGCTATAAACAGGATGAAAGCCAATAAGTGATGCTCAGTTCAAACAAAAGCAGTTTTGTTGGTGAATTATTCATCTGCTCAGGTTTATCCTGGCGTTGTTCACCCTGCATTAGATGGGATTGTACTCCACTGAGGGAACACTTCATCATGATCAGATCCAAAGGCTGTCTCCATGGCACAGCAGTCCTTTTACCAGCTTCATTATGTTTTAATGAGACTAAAAGATCAACTTATCATTGCAGACTTTCCTACAACTACTTTTAGCATTATCAGGTAACCTTGGGAATCAGGTCCTTGGATTATCTAGGCCATACTCAGTAAAGAAACTGAACTCAAGTGGTCTTTTGCATTGATGTCACACTCTCAACTTACCAGAACTTTCTTCAACTATGTCACGGTCATCTTCTGCAGCAATATAAGCCCAAGTATCTGTCTCATCTCTTGAGCTCCTGCTATATAACTGTCTGTCTTTTGATTTGAACTCTTCTGTAGATCTGAATTCATGCCCAGACTCTTCTCTTTTACGATTGTCTAAGTATTCATTTTTTTCTTCTGAAGAGATACTAAACACATCAAATGCACTCTTGATCTCTTTCAAACCTAGAACATAGTTAAAATTAATGTGTACTGCATGACATCACTGAATGTAACATTCATTATTAAAAATACTGTATGACAGTAACTAATGTTCAATAGTTCAGCATTTAAGATAGGAACGTGTCAAAAATACATTTATTTTCTGGACTAGAAAGCTATTTAGTTGCATCCCACAGTGCAACAGGTCTGATAGAAGTGGACTTCCCTCTGTAAATTCCCATTGCAGCTCCTCTAACCATCTCCCCACTCAGATGGCCAGAATGTAAGCACTGAAACTGGTCAGCCTATAGTTCACCATAATTATGCAGGTCATATGCCAAGAAACAGAAATTCACACCATAAAAGAGAAAAGGTACAACCCAATGTTAGTGATTACAAGCATAATGTATTAGCACCAAAGCCTCTACTACAATGCATTTACCTGCAAGATCGCAGTGAGAATGTAGGATAGCAACCAAATGGTGATGACTTACTATAAACTAACTGGACTGTCTCAGTAAAGGAGGATGTCAAGTTCTCTGATCTTTGCATAAAAGTAAGACCTCAACCTTTTCTAGTCAATACTGGGCAAAGCTTTACTAATGTGTCCTGTTCTGGAGCCAGATGACCAGACCTAAACATCTCCTCGTCTTCTATCAACACAACTGGTGAGAATTGTATTTTTGTTAAAATAGGAACATGTTGCAGAAATCTGTTTTCAACCAAGGTAGTATTTCAAAGATACAAGCCATTCCCTAAAATTTCCTATAATACTCAGATTGTCTAAACAATTTACTTAAGCCAGTAAACCAATGTAAGACGCTCAAGAGTCAAAAATTTCAGCAAAATATCTTGTCAAGATGATTATATCTAGAGCTTAACCAACATTAAACTCTGTAGTAATGTCTTGTTCTATTTCCTAATACACTATGTCATTTGGCTCATCCATCCATCCATCCATCCATCCATCCATCCATCCATCTATCTATCTATCTATCTAGACATTTTTATACTGTTCATCAGCCAAAAGAGGCTCTCTGGACAGTTTACCGAACTAAAAATATATACCAACAATCAATAACATATAAAATTACAGAAATAATAGATTAGAAAAATGACAATAAATCCACAGTATGTCCATGGCAAACCCAGCAACTGCAACCAAATCATTCCAGAGTCATAGCAGCAATACACAATAAAATACAACAGCATGAGACAAAATACAGTACAAATATGGATAAAAAATAACTGTTAAAATATTGGGTAAATAAAAAGATTTTTCTATGCTCATATCTGTGGTTCCTACTAATTTCATCAATTGTTTCATAAATTACATTTGCCTCACTCCACAGAAGCCCTGATCTCCTGACAAAAGTTTTCTGTTTTTGTTTTTTGTTTTATCAGAGAGCTTTTGTTATATTAGAGTGGTCCAACTTTTTGTACTCTGAGGGCTGCAAGAGGGCTTCAAAACGGAACCCAGGGGCCATGCAATGAATGACATTTCCATACCATAAATTGCCATGGCACAGAGCCACAATCCCCCAGCACCATCTTCTGGAATTGGCCAGTCAGGTAGAAGTGGAACCACTGCAATGCAGTGCCTCCAAACCCCAACTTGGTCAGCCTATCCAGAGGGATACCATGCTTGATGGTATCAAAAGCTGTTGACAGGTCCAGGAGAAGCAGCAGGGACACACTCCCCCTGTTCCTCTCCCTGCACAGGTCATCATACAGGGCACTGTACCAAGGCAGTTTCTGTCCCATAACCAGGCCTGAAACCTGATGGTCAGTTTCCTCCAAGAGAGCTTGCCCAGCCACCACCCAGTTGAGCACCTTGCCCAAGAACAGGATGTTAGCCACCAGCCTATAATTGGCAGCCCGCGCCGCCAGATTCCACCACCTGACTGGCCCGCCACACCCGGCACGGGTGAGAGGCGTGACCGGATGCGTCGGAGCGTCGAGAGCCCTGCGCCCTGAAAAGCGGCGGCCGGGGCCAGCGACCAAAGGGTGTCAGCCAAAGGGCGGTCGCCGCCCTTTGGGTGCCGTTCGGGGGCCGAGCGGGGGGCTGGGCTGGCCAGGGGGCTTTGTTTGGCTGTGTTATAATTGGCCCTCCTGCTGGGCTGCGTTTTATTGTGAGTTTTTAACTGTTTTTATAATTTTATAGTATTTTAAGCTGTTTTATGGAGTCGTCCCTGGCCACGTTGTTGGTCCTGGGGGACTTCAATCTCCATGCCGAGACTGATCTGACCGGGGCGGTTCAGGACTTCATGGCCTCCATGGCGGCCATGGGGCTGTCTCAACATGTCATCGGCCCGACCCATGAACGTGGACACACTCTGGACCTGGTTTTCTCGACGGGGCAGGAAGAGGGTGGTCTGAGGGTGAGGAATTTATGCTTGACTCCCCTGTCATGGTCAGATCACTTCCTGGTGAGGTTTGTGCTCGAGAGTGACCTCTCCCTCTGTAAGGGTGCGCACCAGATTGTGTGGGTCCGCCCCCGGAGCCAGATGGATCCGGAAGGATTCCTGAAGGCCCTGGGGGAGTTCCCAGCTGACAAGACGGGTGCTCCTGTCCACGCTCTGGTCTAACTGTGGAACGGGGAGATGACCAGGGCTGTAGACACGATCGCTCCTAAGCGTCCTCTCCCACCGGGCAGAGCCCGCTCTTCCCCTTGGTATACTCCTGAATTGAGGGCGATAAAGCAGGTTGGGAGACGGCTAGAGCGTAGGTGGAGGAGATCACGAGATCAATCTGACCGAACACACTTGAGAGCCCACTATCGGGCCTATGCTGTGGCGGTGAGGGCGGTGAAAAAGAGATTTTTTTCCGCTTCCATTGCCTCCTCACAATGCCATCCAGCGGAGCTCTTTCGAGTAGTGCAAGGCCTGGTTCATCCAGGTCCGAAAGAAGACCTGGTTCCACCCTCAAAGGCCCGCTGTGACGACTTTGCCAGGCATTTCAGGGAGAAAATTGCTCAGATTCGTCACGAGCTGGATTCCACTATCGATTCAGAGGTTTTAAGGGAGACGCCAATGCTGCCGTCAGGTCCAGCTTTATTGGACGAATTTCAGTTACTGCGGCCTGATGATGTGGACAAGGTGCTTGGACGAGTACGTCCCACCACTTGCCTATTGGACCCTTGCCCGTCTTGGTTAATAAATAATTGCAAGCATGGGATTGGGATCTGGATCTTGGAAGTGGTTACCGCTTCTCTGAGGGAGGGTCGGGTGCCTGCCCCTTTAAAGGAGGCGGTAGTCCGACTGGTCCTGAAGAAGGCGTCACTGGATCCAGAGATGGCCACTAATTATAGACCAGTGGCCAACATCCCGTTTCTGGGCAAGGTGTTAGAGCGGGTGGTGGTGGGACAACTCCCAAGCACTCTTGGATGAAACTGATTATCTGGACCCATTTCAGTCCGGCTTCAGACCCGGGTACGGTACTGAATCTGCCTTGGTCGCCCTGTACGATGACCTGTGCAGGGAGAAGGACAGGGGGAGTGCGTCCCTGTTGGTTCTCCTGGACCTCTCAGCGGCTTTCGATACCATCAATCATGGTATCCTTCTGGATAGGCTTGCGGGATTGGGGGTCGGAGGCACTGCTTTGCAGTGGTTCCGCTCCGATCTCAATGGCCGGTTCCAGAAGGTGGTGCTGGGGGACTATGGCTCTGCGCCATGGCAGCTATGCCATGGAGTACCGCAGGGGTCCATTTTGTCCCCTTTGCTGTTCAACATCTACATGAAACCGCTGGGAGAGGTCATCAGGAGGTGTGGGCTGCGGAACCATCAGTACGCTGATGATACCCAGCTCTACCTCTCGTTTTCCACCAATCCAGGTGAGGCAGTGGCTGTACTGAACCGATGCCTGGCTGAGGTAATGGGCTGGATGAGGGCTCAATCCAGACAAGACGGAGGTCCTGTTGGTTGGTGGATTGGGCTTTGGAGAGGGTGAATTGAACCTTGTTCTGAATGGGGTTGCACTCCCTCCTAGGGACAAGGTCTGCAGCCTGGGAGTGCTCCTCGACCCGGAGCTTTCACTGGAAGCTCAGGTGACAGCAGCAGCGAGGAGCGCTTTCCTCCAGCTTCGGCTGATTCATCAGCTGCACCCCTACCTGGAGTACGACTGCCTCGCGACAGTGACACATGCGCTGGTGACTTCCCGTCTTGACTTCTGTAATGCGCTCTACGTGGGGCTACCCTTGAAGATAGTCCGGATACTTCAATTGGTTCAAAACAGAGTTGCCAGGCTGCTGACGGGGACTGGGCGTTATGTTCACATGGCTCCAGTTCTCCGTCAGCTTCACTGGCTTCCCATTGAAGTCCGTGCCCAATTCAAGGTGTTGGTGATGACCTATAAAGCCCTAAACGGCTTGGGTCCTGGTTACCTGAAGGAGCGCTTACATCCATATATGCCCGGCCGCCCCTTGATATCAGCGGGAGAGGCCCTTCTCCGGGAACCCTCCGTGAAAGAAATTAGGAGGGTGGGTACTCGGAGGAGGGCTTTCTCTGTGGTGGCACCTAAGGTATGGAATGCGCTCCTCAGAGAGGTCCGCCTGGTGCCGTCGTTATTTGTTTTTCGGCGCCAGGCAAAGACCTTTTTATTTAAGCGGCATTTTAACTGTTAATATTATTGGATTTTATCTGGCCAGGGTGGCTTATTTTATATTGTATTCTTGTATTTTTAATTTAATGTTTATATTTTTAATTTAATATTATAAGTATTTTAATTTATTGTTGTAAGCCATCCCGAGGCTTCGGCGAATGGGGCGGCATAAAAATGTTTTAATAAATAAATAAATAAAAATAAAATCTCTGGGTGCAGGTTCACCCTTTTTAAGATGGGCCTGATCACTGCCTCTTTTAAGGGGGTGGGGACCTTCCCTTCCCTTCCCTTAGAGAAGCATTAACGATCTCCTGGACCCAGGTACACATCCTGACCTTGGCTTTAATGAATAGCCATGAAGGGCAAGGGTCAAGTAAACCGGTAGCGAGTTGGACTATTCCAAGCACCTTGTCCAAATCCTCAGGCCACAACAATTGAAACTCATCCAACAAAGATAGACCAGATGGCGCTCTAGACATTTCCTGTTCAGGTAACACATCAACCATGGAGTCCAGCTTGTGACAAATCTGAGTGATTTTATCCCTGAGTGCTGGGCAAAGTCATCACATCACACCACCAATGGTGCAATAGGGTAGTTTTGTGGCCCGGAGTGTAACAGGCCCTGCACCATCCAGAATAGCTCAGCTGGACAGCAATGTGAGGATGCAATGGAAGCAGAGAAGAATTCCTTCTTGGCTGCCTTCACTGCCACAGCATAGGCTCAAGAATGAGCTCTCAGTTGTATTTGGTCAGATTCAGCATGGGGTTTCCTTCACCTATGCTCTCCCAGCCTGCTGCGTCTCCCACAACTCAGGAGTATACCAAGGCACCACATGGGTCCAGCATGGCAGGAGAAGACATTTAGGAGCCATCATGTCAATCGCCTGGGTCATTTCTGCATTCCAGAAATCAACCAGGGTATCTATAGGAGCGCCAGTCCTATTAACCAGAAATTTCCCCAGAGCCCTCAGGAATCCATCAAGATCCGTAAGTCTCCAGGGGTGGACCGTTTTAATAGGGTCCACACCTTAAGGAGGGGAAAACTAGCTCCAAGTTCAAACCTCATGAAGAGGTGCTCTGACCATGTCAAAGGGATTAACATCAAATCCCTCACTTCCAGATCGCTGTCTTCCTGCCTCATCAAAAAGACCAGGTGCAGAATGTGGCCTTATTCATATGTTGGGCCAGTGACATGTTGAGACAGCCCCATGGTGGCCCTGAAGTCCTGAGCTGCCCTGGTCAGAACAATCTCGGCTTGGAGATTGAAGTCCCCCAGGACAACATCCTGGCAGTCCACAACACCAGGTCCGAGATGATCTCTGTCAGTTCAGGCAGAGAGTCTGTTGGGCAGAAGGATGCATGGTATACCAACAGAATCCCAAGTTTCTCTCAATCACCCAACACCAAGTGCAAACACTCAAGACATGGCCTCAAAGGGACAGGAAGCCCTGTGAGGGAGATTGAATCTCTGTGAATTAGGGCAACTTCCCTTCCCCCTTCCCTCTAGGAGGGGTTAATACTGCACCAGATAACCAGGTGGGCACAGCTGGGTGAGCACCACGCCCCCTGCTTCTCCCACCCAGGTCTCCGTGATACTTGCCAGGTCGGCCCCCTCATCCATGATTAAATAATGGATGAGGGATGTTTTATTTTGGATCGACCTGGCATTCAGCAGCGACATCAATACCAAGTTAAAATGGAATATACATATAAAATAGGATGCCATGTAGTTAAAAAGGAGCCCTAATGTAAAAAATGCCTCTGGCTCCATTGGAAGAGAAAAAGATTCCCAGCAAAGAGTACACTAGTACAAAACAACTACCCTGCCCAGCCTCTCCCTGTCCCAAACTACCAGGGTCCTTGGCCCAACCCAACCCCGAATGACCTTGAACGGCCCCAAGCCACTTATCACTCTTTGACCACTGCCCTTCAGCCATGGCCGGCAAGATAAGGGAATGTGGCTCCACCTTGCCTCCCACAAGTGCAACCCCCCCACCCCACCCCTGACATCCTTTCTCACAGGCCTCAGGCACGGTGAGTGCACAGATGGGAAAGTTAAAACGGAGCTGCAGCAGTGTGGCCCAGTTACTTGCTGCCTGTTAACTTTCTGCAGCAAACCTCCTTTGAAAGCAGGAATCATAGGTCCTTTTCACACTGATCAGACCCATTCAGGTGGTGCCGCGCAGGGGCAGGTCCCTCACACAATTGCCAGAAGGTTAGAGAGGTAAACTCTCCCCTGTACCCTTGGCAAACACATGGTCTTTGCCATGGGTCATTCCCCTCCTCCTCCAATTTTAGGACTAAATGAATGAAAAAAGAATCAGAGATCATAGGCAGCTCCTTCTCTGACTGCAGTCAGAGCACAATGACTGCTCCTCTGGGATGGTCCATCCCTTTCTTCCCTGTTTCTCTTGTCCAGAAACCCTCCCATGTGACCCCTCTTACCTTCTTGGAATTGGTGCACTAAGCCTCTTGTACCTGAGCCAATGAACTCTCCCCAGCTTGCCCCACACCACTCCAGCTGAGGAACACAAAGGCATTTAGCTCTTGCGTGCCTTTGTGCTCATCAGCTGGAGTGATGTGGGGCATGCTGGGACAAGCTCTTCTGAGGCTCAGGAAGAGAGTAGGACAGGCCAGCAATCTCAGGAAAGCTCACTGCAAATCTGTCCATACCATACCTGGAATCCCAAATGGGGAAAAACAAGGAACTCCAAGCAGCAAGAGCGTGGCAGAACAAGGCCTCGGGGGCTGCATGTGGCCCATAGGCTGCATGTTGGACCACCTCATGTTAGATAGTCATCCTTCACTGAGACAATGTCAGTAGCCCCTCAACAGGAATGTCTGGGTTTTTCTCCCCCGCGACTTCTAGGAAGGAACTCCCAATCCCTTTTCAGGGTGTCTCAAGGACTGCCATTGGGAAGAAGGATTTAAAAAGTTCACTTTCACCAGTCCTGTTGCACATGACTAAATCTGGATTCAACCCATTAGGATTAAATAATCTGGGGCAAAATTATGGCTATACATAGACAAGGTACAATATAAATCATACTTAGACAATTGGGACTACATACTCTATGGCAGGATCTATGGGTAGATCACTCTGATGTTCTAAAATGATTTTATAATTTGTGCAACAAACTTTTTATACATACTTTTGAGTCCTTTGTGTTCTTTTCTGCCCTTTTCTTCCTTTTCAGAGTCAAATCTTTTCTGGAGTTTCTCTTTTGCTTCACTTCTTTTGGCTTCCTTTTCCTGCAAATATAAAAACAGTGGTCTCAAACACTTACAGCAATAGAAGTGCAACCAAGTGCAACACTTACATGCAACCAAGTATTTGTTCTACTGAGGTAAGCAAGGCTTGGAAGCTCATTTGCATATACTCAAAAAAGCAAGCTTGCAGCTTAATTCTGATCACAAATAAACACATCACACAGCCTGCTTAAATATTCATAGTAAGACCAAGGTGCAAAAAGCTAATTTGCACATGAGGACTTAGGTCAATGGAATTTGTAATCTTAAAACAACCAACTCTAAGAGATCTTCAGGCCATATCACAAATTTGCTTTTAAATATTTGCTTTTGAAATTAAGGAGGTTGCCAACTGATGGGTAGAAGATGAAAGGGGCTGCTACCTGAGAAAACGCAAGTCTCCAACACTCTCTGGCACACAGAACCAATTGTGCAGGGTTACTGGATCCTGGCAAAAGTATTTTCAGGCACATGATGAGAAACTGATACAGGCTTTAAGAAAGTCTCTTTAACAATTAAGTCATATAAATGAACTGTCCAGTTAAGTATGAGGTACAAAATGATAAACATTGCACTAAAGCAAGTATCTCATTTATATAGCAATATCTTCATTTCATCCCACTTTTGATGTCTGCCAGCTGGGCTTACTGTGTCTTGGAGGAAGTTGAAGAGGTTTCTGACAGATGCTACATCCAACAACACCCATTACCCTGTCAAAAACAACTTTTAAAAGGGGACTCAGAAAAATGGTATGGGATGGAATTTTGCACTTTCTGGAGTGCAAGCCACTCTGTAAGCATGGCTCTGAAAGTGGGAAGAAGTGGCCATCTAAATGTATTGCACAGAGGGAACAGTGCAGAAGCGACCATCACTTCTGTACTTTTCTGATCCTGCATAGGATATCGATAATCCTCTATGGTCAGGGGGTTAAAGGCATCCTCATAGAACTGCACATTTAGTCAACTTTAAAATTCAAGAGAAGGGACCCATGCTATTTCTGTATTTTTCAAATACAAAATTTATTATTTTTGTGAGGCGGGACATCAGCATTTATTCTTGTAGAGATCAGTCTATATTTCTGTTCCTTCGTAATACTAATACATCTTACTTTAAAAATTAGTTTGTTTACATGGACTTTGTAACCTTGCCTTGAATTCATTGCCATTATCTGTCTGAAACTACATGAAGTAGTTTGTGTGTGTTTTGGGGGAAACAAGAAATAGGAGTATTTGTTTATTCAAGGAAAATTATTTATTACATTTCTAGATCACACTACAGCTGAAACTCTTTGAGTTAAATAACCCTCTCTTCTTCTGACTTATCACTTCTCTGTTGTACATTGCTACAGATAAATAGCAGCTACGGTTCTCATGTTGGTTATCCACCCAAAAATGTGGCCAAACAACTAAGCAGCAAATTAGACATGACAATGAGAACAGTACTACAATTACTGTTTACATTTCTGTTATGTAAATAGCGGCCATGAGGAAGCCTGAGCAGCTCCTCACTTGGACATGGAAAGAACAAGTAAGTTCAGATAAGCAACTTTTGTGAAGACTACTGCAGAAGGGAGGGAGCTAACCTTCCCCTCTGCATGCCCCAAGAACCTGAGAGTTCTATTTACATAATCCTCCACATTAGTTACATTCAAACCATTGTTTTACCCTAAAACCACTAAGGAGAAAAAAAAGCTGGGGAACTGAACATGACTTGAAGGGTCTAGAGAAAAATACCACACCAACCACCACAAAACCCAACCCAAACCAAACATTAAGAGTTGGACATAAGAGTTTATTTATTATAACTAAGTAAATAAATAAGAGATGTTCAGAAAAAGAGACACGGTAAGGAAAAATTTAATCTTGCATCATCCAATTTAGATTACCTTAGATAACATGCCTCTTTCCTTTGGGATGTCCTCAGCATTTAAATCACTTTTAGATAGACTCTTCTTGCTGACTGTGCTCCCTCCTCTATTGCATTCAGAATCCAGGACAAATTTTTCAAAGATACTCTCCCCTACAGAATGCTGAGAAGATCTCTCTTTCATTTTCTCATCATCTGCTCTCCAATTTATATTTTTCTCTTTTCCTTCAGCAACTGTTGACTTCTGAGGTACATCCTTGGCATACAATTGGCTTGATTTAACCTCTCTGCTTTTCAATTTTGAATTATTGCTTACCTCCCCTGCTGAATCAACAGACTTGCGTCCTCTTTCATCAGCGGAAAGTTTCACACTTTTCTGCACTGGAGTAGCTGGTCTCTTATTGTCAAGTTCAGCAGGAGCCTTTGCTTTCTCTGAAGCCTTCTGTTTTTTGTGTGCACTCTTCTTTTCCAAATGCCTGTCTACTTTTCTACTTTCTTCAAGTTCTTCAAACTTTTTGTATTTCTTCTTTTTCTTCTTAACCTTCACTTCTGAACTATCATCTGTGCTTGATGAACTATCTGGCTGCTGAACTGAAGCCCAGAGTATGCTTCTTTCTTCCAATTGCTCTTTTCCAGGAGATGTCTTGTGTTTCTCTTCACTGCTGTCTGAGTCCAAGTCCACACTTTCATTATCAGCAGCTTGAGAAAAAGCATCATCCAGAACACTGGATTCAGCATCTAACTGATGAGCAATGGTTTTGGCTTTCTGCAGATGCTTCATTTCTTTGGACTCCTCTTTTAATTTTTTCTTTGCATCTTTAACTTCTCCCCTCTTTTTGCTGGTGTCTTTTGTATCTTCCTTTCTCTGTTTTTTGAAATCTTTTGTGTCTTCTTTTGACTCTGATGTCCTTTTCTTTGGTTTTGAATCTGAGGCCAAACTATCAGAAGAATGTTCACGTTCAAATCCAGGCCTCTCTTTACCTTTTGCTGATTTAGACTTTTTCTTTTGCATCTCATCTTGGCTTTTGTCCTCTTTGTCTTTTGATTTCTTCTTCTTTTTCTTTGGAGATAAGTCTCCTTTTGTATCACTTTGCCAGTCACTGTCTGCTTCAGAGTCCGCTTCAAAAAGATCATCATTTAATGGAAGCTTCTAGAAAAGGAAGACAAAAGAAGGGGTTTGTGAGATTAAACTTAATGTACAAATCTGAATTAATAGAAGACTACTGAAGCTTCAAAATGCTCAGTCTGATGAAAACATTGCTTTCAAACTGATCCTTAAATTACCATGTTAGAATTTTTGAAACAAAGACAGACAAATGCTGGGATTCAAAGGCTTGAGCCTTCACCACATGATTTTTGACTCTTTGCTCAGACATGCAAACAACTTTTGAGAGAAATCACCATTTCAAATGAGAATTATCATGTGCTGCTGTTCAATAAACAAACCAAAACCCAACTACTCTGAGCTGTGCTAGCCTAGCTGCATGCTTTTTTGGTTAAAAACCATCAAATTCCAAAAAATCATCAAGAAATTTTAAAAAGTGTACAATGTGATCTTTAGTAAATAACTTTGATTTATTATTAAGGAATTTATAAACTACCTTTCAAAAATATTTTTCTCACCATATATCTACAAATACAAATAAAACACATAAATGCAATATTTGAAACATATGTCATCATTAAAAATTTTAAAAATAAGAAAATCATTTGAAAATAACCATGAACATGAGATCTTTAAAAAAAGGCACTAAGAACAATAAATCATTAGTCTACCATTTAATTAGAGATAGTCTGAAATTTAAAAAAATGTTATAAAGACCACCTAAAGGAAAAGAGGGAGGACACTAATCATATCTACAATGGTGGAATATTCCATAAGTATGGATCACCACTGAAAATGTTCTCTTTTTTGTAACCACCAGTATAACTGTCCCATCTCCTATTTCCTGCCATTAACACACTACCACAGCCTCCATAGATCATCTTAAAATATGGTCACCGGGGTGTTCTTAAAGTAAGTTGGTTCCAAACCATTAGAGCTGTAAAAGTCAATTCCAGCACTATGAATGAGGTCAAAAAGCAAAGAGGCAGCTAGTGCAACTAATGCTGAATTGCTGTAACAATGTCAAGATGCTTAGCCTTCTCTTAGGCATTCTTTTCATTTTAGTAGATTTAATCTCTAGTGTGTGTTTAGAATAACTGTCTTGTACCTCAGGAACACTGAAAACCTGCAGGTTATAAAGACACACAGGTGGCCACTCAAGATGACCAAAATACTTTTTTTTTAAATTTCCGATTTATATCCTGCCTTTTTCCTACAAAGGGCTCAAGGCAGCTTACATCATTCTCCTCCTCCATCTTATCCCCACAACAACAGCCCTGTGAGGTAGGTTGGGCTGAGAGTCTGTGACTGGCCCAAAGTCACCCAGTTGGCTCCATGGCCGAGCGGGGACTAGAACCCAGGTCATCTGAGTCCCAGTCCCATGCTCTTAACCACTACGCCACACTGGCTCTCTTAGCAAGGTCCCAGTACTTCTGTTTTAAAATCCTGATCCTAACAGAAGTCAGTACAACTTTCAGTAGGCTAAAAAAGTCCTGGTCCTGGGGGACTTCAATCTCCATGCCGAGACTGATCTGACCGGGGCGGCTCAGGACTTCATGGCCTCCATGGCGGCCATGGGGGTGTCTCAACATGTCATCGGCCCGACCCATGAACGTGGACACACTCTGGACCTGGTTTTCTCAACAGGGCAGGAGGAGGGTGGTCTGAGGGTGAGGAATTTATGCTTGACACCCCTGTCATGGTCAGATCACTTCCTGGTGAGGTTTGTGCTCGAGAGCGACCTCTCCCTCTGTAAGGATGCGGACCCGATTGTGTGGGTCCGCCCCTGGAGCCGGATGGATCCGGAAGGATTCCTGAAGGCCCTGGGGGAGTTCCCGGCTGACAAGTCGGGTGCTCCTGTCGAGGCTCTGGTCGAACTATGGAATGGGGAGACCAGGGCTGTTGACACGATCGCTCCTAAGCGCCCTCTCCCACCAGGCAGAGCCCGCTCTTCCCCTTGGTACACTCCTGAATTGAGGGCGATGAAGCAGGTTGGGAGACGGCTACAGCGTAGGTGGAGGAAATCACGAGATCAATCTGACCGAACACACTTGAGAGCCCACTATCGGGCCTATGCTGTGGCGGTGAGGGCGGTGAAAAAGAGATTTTTTTCCGCTTCCATTGCCTCCTCACAATGCCGTCCAGCGGAGCTTTTTCGAGTGGTGCATGGCCTGGTTCGTCCAGGTCCGAAAGAAGACCTGGTTCCACCCTCGAAGGCCCGCTGTGACGACTTTGCCAGGCATTTCAGGGAGAAAATCGCTCAGATTCGTCACGAGCTGGATTCCACTATTGATTCAGAGGTTTTAAGGGAGACGCCAATGCTGCCGTCTGGTCCAGAATTATTGGATGAATTTCAGTTACTGCGGCCTGATGATGTGGACAAGGTGCTTGGACAAGTACGTCCCACCACTTGCCTATTGGACCCTTGCCCGTCTTGGTTAATAAATAATTGCAAGCATGGGATTGGGATCTGGATCTTGGAAGTGGTTACCGCTTCTCTGAGGGAGGGTCGGGTGCCTGCCCCTTTAAAGGAGGTGGTAGCCAACCGGTCCTGAAGAAGGCGTCACTGGATGCAGAGATGGCCACTAATTATAGACCAGTGGCCAACATCCCGTTTCTGGGCAAGGTGTTAGAGCGGGTGGTGGCGGGACAACTCCAAGCACTCTTGGATGAAACTGATTATCTGGACCCATTTCAGTCCGGCTTCAGACCCGGGTATGGTACTGAATCTGCCTTGGTCGCCCTGTACGATGACCTGTGCAGGGAGAAGGACAGGGGGAGTGCGTCCCTGTTGGTTCTCCTGGACCTCTCAGCGGCTTTCGATACCATCAACCATGGTATCCTTCTGGATAGGCTGGCGGGATTGGGGGTCGGAGGCTTGCGGTGGTTCCGCTCCTATCTCAATGACCGATTCCAGAAGGTGGTGTTGGGGGACTATGGCTCTGCGCCATGGCAGCTATGCCATGGAGTACCGCAGGGGTCCATTTTGTCCCCTTTGCTGTTCAACATCTACATGAAACCACTGGGAGAGGTCATCAGGAGGTGTGGGCTGCGGAACCATCAGTATGCTGATGATACCCAGCTCTACCTCTCATTTTCCACCAATCCAGGTGAGGCAGTGGCTGTACTGAACCGGTGCCTGGCTGAGGTAATGGGCTGGATGAGGGCCAATAAACTGAAGCTCAATCCAGACAAGACGGAGGTCCTGTTGGTTGGTGGATCAGGCTTCGGAGAGGGTGAATTGAACCTTGTTCTGAATGGGGTTGCACTCCCTCCTAGGGACAAGGTCCGCAGCCTGGGAGTGCTCCTTGACCCGGAGCTTTCACTGGAAGCTCAGGTAACAGCAGCAGCGAGGAGCGCTTTCCTCCAGCTTCGGCTGATTCATCAGCTGCACCCCTACCTGGAGTACGACTGCCTCGCGACAGTGATACATGCGCTGGTGACTTCCTGTCTTGACTTCTGTAACGCGCTCTACGTGGGGCTACCCTTGAAGACGGTCTGGATACTTCAATTGGTTCAAAACAGAGTTGCCAGGCTGCTGACTGGGACTGGGCGTTATGGTCACATGACTCCAGTTCTCCGTCAGCTTCACTGGCTTCCCACTGAAGTCCGGGCCCAATTCAAGGTGTTGGTGATGACCTATAAAGCCCTAAATGGCTTGGGTCCTGGTTACCTGAAGGAGCGCTTGCGTCCATATTTGCCCGGCCGCCCCCTGAGATCAGCGGGAGAGGCCCTACTCCGGGAACCCTCCGTGAAAGAAATTAGGAGGGTGGGTACTCGGAGGAGGGCTTTCTCCGCGGTGGCGCCTAAGTTATGGAATGCGCTCCCCAGAGAGGTCCGCCTGGCGCCATCGTTATTTGTTTTTCAGCGCCAGGCGAAGACCTTTTTATTTAAGCGACATTTTAACTGTTAGTATTACTAGATTTTATCTGGCCAGGGCGGCTTATTTTATATTGTATTTTTGTATTTTTAATTTAATGTTTATATTTATTGTAATTTATATTATAATTACTTTTAATTTATTGTTGTAAGCCGTCCCAAGGCTTCGGCGAATGGGGCGGCATAAAAATGTTCAAATAAATAAATAAATAAATAAATAGGCCAGCTAAGAAAGCATTTTTAATATGACCACATTTGCATCCATAGAAAAGGTCCGTGAAGACAGCAAATACTTACTATACAGCATATAAACTCAGTATCTCACCAGCTATAAAATGGGCTTTCTAAAATACAATGGAAAATGCAAATTCTAGGTTTTTTTGTTTGTTTTTAAACTACTCTAGGAACAGAAATGGCATAGATCACTACAATAAATTGATTTGTCCAAAGACTATCACAGAACATAAATATGTAGCAGATCATATACAAGGATACTAATTACAGTGTGGTGATGAAATTATCACCATCAGTTAAACCTGAAATCAGTACTAATCCAATTATAAAAACTTCAGTCTCACAACGTAGAATACCAACATCTGAGAGCAGTTAGGGATAAGCAGCTCCCACATTTCCAATACTCTGTCAGACTGTTGCTGGCAAGACAGGTCTCTGGGCCCATCTAGTGCAGGAGGGCCAGGGATAGGAAAAGCATAGGATTTCTCATACCCAGGCAGCTCTTCCACACTAGAATTTCCCCTTTTCAAAAACACTACCAAGTTATCCAAGGCTGCCTTTACAACCTCAAAAATAAAGCTTGCATAGTTCTTTCTGTGGTGGCTGCAACTGATAGTATAGTTTGGTTCCAAGGCTGGGACTACCTACAGCTTCAAGAGTGGGGTTTGAATAAACCCTATGGTCCCTGGGATTCTATGACCCCTCCAAGGACCATAGGGTTGTTCTCTAAAAGGTGAAGTTCCTCAATCGCAGAAAATAAAGTTAAAGTGAATTATTGTGGGGAAGATAAGGCCAAAATTAAACATACCTGTACTTCTTTTTTAACTGTTTTGGGCTTAGTATCCACTATTTTCTTTCGGAACTCCAGAAGCACTTCTCTACAGTCTTCTAAATGTTCCTCTGGTTCCCAAGTATCATCTTCTGGTGAATATCCTTTCCATCGTACTTTGTATACAATTTTGCCCTGAAAAAGCAAAAAAGAGTTATCTAAATATACAATACTCAAGATTTCTCATTGACTTGAATGGCTTTCTCTTCGTGAGATGACAAATAATCATCTAGTGGGGAGGCACCAGTGAACTCAGATATGCCTTTACAACTATGCCCAATCCTACTGCTAAAAAGAAATGGCTGAGAGCAGTTAACGGAAGAGTAGAAGGTATTTCTGCTAGCACCATTGTGTGACCATACATATATATCTGTATTCAGATTGCAAGGATACCCAGCCACTATTGTCCACCACTGACCTTTACATTCGGGTAATAAGACTGAAGGGGTTGGGCAGGAGAGAGAAAGAATTGTGTTACTTTTGAAGACTAAATCCAAATCTGCAGTACAACTTTTAGTAGTTACTTAAACATCAATGACAACTCTTTTTAATAACAGTAAATTCTCTGATGAGTAAACAGGAACAAAATACTGGCATTAGTATTAATTTAGTTGTCATAGCTAGGAACTGTAGTTTTGCAAGGGTGCTTGGCAGAGGAGCCTAGGAACTGTAGTTTTGCAAGGGTGCTTGGCATTCTGTTAAGAGATGCCTAATCCCTTCAAAGAACTCATGTTCCCACAAATTACCACTAAATGAATTTAAATTTATGCTGCTGATATACTCTAACGCAGTTGCCTCTATAAGCAACAGTATGTTTTAGTGTTTCCCAGATTTTCAAGATGAAATAGGTTGTTTTTCTGAATTAAACCAATTCAGAAAATTACATTATTATTATATTGTGTTTATATCATGCCTTTTCTCCCCTTGTGAGGAACCCAAAGCAGTTTACATAGTTCTCTTCCACTTCATTTCATCCAAACAACAACAACCACAACCACCCTGTGAAATAGCTTGGGCTGAGTGACCAGCCCAAAGTCACCCACTGAGCTTCATGGCTGAGTGGATCTAGAACCTAGATTTCCCAGGTCCCTTGTCCAACTCTCCACACCACATCACTGTTATGCTCTAAAAATATTTACTTTGAGAATGTGTAAGAAAAACAGCTGTCTACTCCTGCGCTTAGGCATTATTATCTGGGAGAGTGCACCTTCCTAGAGGAGACAAAAAAGCTCTCAGAGATAGAATGGGCAACTATCTCCCAAGAATAGTTCTGCCCTCATACAATCATAGAATAGCAGAGGACAAGGGGGATAGGGACAAGAAGCCCGTTGGAGTCCAACTCCCTGATGTTGCAGGTCACAAATTTACACCAGCTCATTCAGATGACTGTCCAGTTTCTTTCTAGATGTCTCTAGTGTATGAGAGCCCACAATCTCTCTAGGTAACTGGTTTCACTGTTGTATTGCTCTGACAGTGAGGAAGCTTTTCCTGATATCTAATCTGAATATGGGTTATCACAACTTGAGTTGATTACTGCATGTCCTATACTCTGGTATCAAAGAGAAGAGACCTTGACCTTGCTTTTTGTGATGGCCTTTGAAGTACTTATAGAGTGATATCATGTCCCTGATCAGCCTTCTCTTTTCAAGGCTGAACATACTCGGTTTTCTCAGTCTCTCCTCATAGGGCAGTGTTTCTAAACCCTGAATCATTTTTGTTGCCTTCCTCTGGACCCTTTCTAATTTTTCTGCATCTTTCTTAAATCTTGGTGCCCAGAACTGGGCACAGTATTCCAGATGAGGTCTGACTAGTGAAGCGTACAGGGAAATTACTTCTCATGATTTGGAAGCAATACTTCTATTAATGCATCCCAAAACAGCATTTGCCCTTTTTGCGCCTGCATCACATTGTTGACTCATTTAGCCTGTTGTCCAGAATAACTCCAAGGTGTGTTTCCTTTTCAGTTCTGTTCAGCCACATATTTTCCATTTTGTATTGATGCATTTGGTTTCTTTTTCCTAGGTGGAGGACTTGGCATTTGCCCCTATTGAATCTTATGATGTTGCTTTCAGCTCAGCATTTGAGTTTATCAAGATTGCCCTGGATCTTCATTTTGTCTGCTAGGGTGTTCATGATTCCACCCAGTTTTGTATCATCTGCAAATTTGATCATCATTCATCATACTTCCTCATCTAAATGATTAATAAACATGTTGAAAAGCACTGAGTCTAGGACTGAACTCTGAAGCACCCCACTAGTTACCTCCGTTCAGCTGGAGAAGATGCCATTGATGAGCATTCTTTGTGTCCAATTTAGCAGCCAATTTTGGATCTACTTAACAGATTTTGTATCTAGTCCACATTATGCTAGTGTGCTTATCAGGATGTTATGGGGCTCCATGTCAAAGGCTATGCTGAAGTCTAGGTAGATTATGTCCACAGTGTTCCCTCTTTCCATTTGGGAGGTTACTCAGACAAAAAATTGAATTGAATTAGTCTAACAGGGTTTATTTTTGATAAAACCATGTTGATTCTAATTAACCATTGCATTTTCTTCTACGGAGTGTAATTAAATGACCCTCAATGTTGGCTACTTTACTTAAATGTGTAATACTATGCATGTTTATAAAGGAAAACTAAAGCCCTACAATTCCCAGCATGCTCCAGCCTTATGGGTATGGCTGGGGCATGCTGGGTGTTGTGGACTTTTTCTCATGACTAAACATAAATAGAACTGCACCATAAATATTTCTCACGTGTTTCTTGCAAATAAGCATACCACTCTGGTTTATTAGTTCTGTAATCTACCATACAGACACAGGATTTTTTGTGGACCTGGTAAGTAAATTATTTGTTCTTAGTCTTCTGTTAAAATACACTGCTTTGTAAAGAAAGTTAATCAGATCTAGAGTGCCTCTTGGTAGTTCACTCACTTTTCTCCTCAGGATAAAACAAACAGAAAGGAACACTTCCACGGTGGAACAACAGTGGAAGAAGCTTCCCTAGTTTTTCTCTTTAGGTTCCTCGTAGGTTTCCCATTCTTCAGCTATAGGTTAATACCCTCGCCCACGCTGAGGAACCATCCACCATTCTCCTTCAAGAGAGAAAAAGCACCCCCCCCCCCCGGTGAATGAAGTCCGCTCTCCCCTGCAAGGCCTCCCCCCCTCCAGACTCACGTCTTCATCTGTTTTCACGTCCAGGATCTTCTCCACCTCGTATACGTCGTCCTCATCCTCTTCGCTCTCGCCGCCGCCCGCCGCGGCTGTTGTGGCCACCGTCGCCGCAGTTCCTTCTCCCGCCTCACCGGCTTTCGGCTTCTCCTTGGCAGTGGCTGCAGCTGTCGCCACCTCCTCCTCGGTCCCGCTCACAGCAGCCGCCATGTTTGGACCGAATTTTCAAACGACAACCGTAGAAAGCGGCTGTGACATTCAAAGCCTTCGCGCACGCGCCCCGCCCCCTATTCCTCGGGCCGAGCCAGGGAGGCGCCCCACTGGCCGCGAAATTAGCGGTGCTGGCATCCTCCACCGATCAGCTCCTTAGAAAGCCCATGACGCACTTACAATAGCCACCAATCAGAACGCTTCTTGGAGCCAACGGCCAATAGGGTGCAGCTCGAGCAGCCCACTAGTCAGAAAGCACCCGAGGAAAGCGGGGTGAGAGACCGGAAGGGGGATGGAACTATAGATAAATACAGTACGAGAGAATCCCCCCGCTTTAGATTTCTGGGTGGGATCACTTTTTCCCCCTCTCTCCCCTTCCCCCGGGACAGTTGCTAATAAATAAGGATTTAAAAATTCTTTGATAGTGTGGTTGGGCAGGTGACCTCTCTAACAGCAAGGTGATAGCAGGAATGTCTGATTTTGTTTTCTGATCTAGCATGGTTTTTCTTAGGTTCTTATGAGTTCCTGCTTGCATCCTTCTGTTTTCTGAATAGTTATTACACTCAATAACAACAACAACAACAACAACAACCTTTATTTGTTCGATTGTTCATGTAATAAAATTATTTCATATATTCTAAGTGCACTAGGTCTTGTCTAAATGTGGGGAATTGAAGGATAAACACGCTAAACTTCAACAAAGAGCTTATGCATCTCGAGGGAATGTGGGTTGGAACATGTAACATACAGAGAAACCAATGCAGAAATGCCACAACTGTAACACTGATTTTTATTTGCATAATGAGTTTCTGATTGTTTTATTTTATGTGAGGTGCTTAGGGAGAGCATTACCATAAAATGTGACATACAATTGTTGCAATATGTTTATAAAATGTTATGGTTTGGGAGGGGACGAACCAGTACCTAGTCAGAGCTACATCAAACACTTGAATTCTCCATTGATTTCTATGGTCAGCTTGCACTTTCACCCTGGAAAATATTTAATATGGTATCTCAATGTGAAGGATGAAATATTGTAGCTGAAAATAAATGGTGTCATCTAAAACTTTCTAATCTCTGGGGATCAAGCCCCGTAATTGTAGGGCTTCTTTCCTGGCTGGAGTTTAGAAGGGGCAATGACATTTATGATGCAGAACAAGCTTACATTTGAGGTACCAGAATAGAAAACGCTAAAATACAGCAGGGTAACACTACAACAAATAAAGATATTTTATTTGATTAACAGTAAGAGGTTTTTCACCTTTTCTAGAAATATTTTTCTCCCTGCATTGTCATTTCCAACTGGCCCAGGGGTGTTGAACTTTTCCAGCCTAGTGGCCAAATTCAGTTTTGGCGCTCTCAAGGGCCAATACCAAAATATGTTTTAACCACATTTTCACTTAAACTCTTACAGCTAAGCATCAAGAGAAGCATTTCAAAGCATTTCATGGGGGAGGGAGTGCATAAGCTGAAAAACCAGCAAATAATTAATGGTCAGGGGAAAATGGGGTATGGCCATCTGAGAAGGCTGGATTAGGGCTGCGGGCTTGAGGGTCGACACCTCTGGATCTAGCCTCACAAGGCATTTTGATGGACTTGAAGGCTTGTTCCTATCTTTCTCCCGCTGCTTGTTGGGTTCCTTTCTCCCGGTCAACTTGACTAGCTGCAGTTTTATAGAACATACCTTCTGTCTGTTCCAAAGAAACTTTTTTCTCTTTCCTCCTTATGGCATCACTGCAGGCCAGTTTTGTTTTGCATACCACTACATTTTTTCCAGCATCAATTTCCCAGTGCAGCAATGACTTGAAAACTTACTGTTTTTTTAAAGATTACACAAATCACCAGAAAGAAAAATCAAGAGAAAAACTGCAAAATGACTACATTTGAACAAAGCTCAGGAATCATGGCAATTTTTAGCATCTAATTAGAATATATATGGGAGTTAGGTAAAAATCCCAGAGTGTTGTTGGTTACATTCTGAAATACCAGAGCTACATGATCAGAGATACGGTTATGAAGAAAAATAATTGTGATTACTGAACACTTGCTAATTTGTCAATTAAAAACTGATATCATTAAACAATAAAGGATGATTGGGGAAGGTGTGGGTCCCAAATTATTCAATATGCAGCAGCTTCTTAGTGAAAGAATCCCAGTCTTTCCCGAGTTCAAGGCACTGGCAAATAGCTGGAAATTCTCGGTCAGTTCTTCTTGCCCATTCAATGGCTTTCTGTACTGGATCCAATACCCTGTTTACAGTGCAAAAGAAAGATCATGTTGATTTGAAAACAGCAATTCGACCACAAAGTCAAGAAGAAAATGAACTGTTATCTACAGTCTCCAAAGACAGAACTAATTCTAATAGGCTTAAGGTTACAGAATGGTAGATTTATAAAAATCATGGTGTAGGAAGGGACTTCAAAGATCATCTCATCAAACCCTCTGCTCAAAGCAAGGTGTAGCTACAGCATTGTTGACAGATGGCTGTCCAGCTTATGCTCCAGTATTTGGAGAGATGGTGAAGGAGAACTCACCACCTCCTCAAGGCAATCCATATGCTCACCACGGAAGTTAGGAAGTGTCTCTTAATGTTTAGGCAAATTCTGCTTTCTTTTAATTTCCACCCACTGGTTTTAGTCCTATCCTCTGGAGCAACACAGAACAAATATGCATCTAATAATATTATAATTATACCCAACCTTTTTCCTTTCAATGAACTCAAAGCAGTTATTATATAATTCTCCTCCTCCTCTCAATCTTACCCTCACACCACAACAACCCTGTGAAGTAGGCTGGTCTGTGAGTTGGTGACTGGCCCAGTCACCCAGTGAGCTCTATGGCTAAGTGGAGACTAGAACCCAGATCTCCCAAATCCCAGCCCAGCATCCTTAACCACTATACCACACTGGCTCTCTCTTCTGCATAACAGCCTTTCAGATATTTCAGGACTACTGTCATTTCACCCTTTAGCAGGCACTATGATTCTGCTAATGCACCCTAAGATGCTTAGTTTTCTTAGCTACTGCAACAAACTCCGTCTTATATTCAGCTTCTGATCCACAAAAACTTAGGTGTTTCCTATGTACTGCCACCTAGCCAGGTCTCCAGGATCCTTTACTTGTATCTTTGATTTTGGTATACTTAAATCCAAGACTTTACATTTATCTCTGTTAAATCATCATTAGTTTTTTTTTCAAGGCTCCTTTTTGAAACAGCTGCACTGCTTCAGTAGGTTTGAACAAATTTCCCTGATGGCTTGGGGGGAAAAAACCTTAAAAGGT